GTAAAGCTTTTTGGCGACTAAACAATTTTAGTAGCCAAAAGTCTACAATTGGCGACTAAAACTAAGTTTAGTCGTTGATTATATGGGTTTTAGTGACTAAAAAATTTTTAGTAGCTCAAAGTAAAATTTTTTGGCGACTAAAAAAATTTAGTAGCCAAAAGTCTACAATTGGCGACTAAAAATAAGTTTGGTCGCTGATTATATGGGTTTTACCGACTAAAAAAATTTTAGTAGCCAAAAGTAAAGTTTTTTGGTGCCAAAAAAAATTTTAGTAGCCAAAAGTCTACAATTGACGACTAAAAAATAAGTTTAGTCACCAAAAGTGGTCATTTTTAGCGTCGGAGAACTAAAATCCTAAGGCGGGAATAAAATTTTTTGGTAACCAAAATTTTGGTAGCTGAAAGTGCATCTTCAGCGACCAAATCCGATTTTGGTCGACAAAATTTAAGTTTTTTAGTAACTAAAAAATAATTAGTAACCAAAAGTATAGAATTGGCGAGTGAAAAATATTTTTAGTTGCCAAAAGTGGTCTTTTTTTATTTTGGTAGTAAATAGTTTATTTTACATAAATTATGTTCAATAAAATAATTATGTTTATACATATACTTTTATATTAATATGGATGTATGTGCTATATAAATAATATATGTTGCATATATAATCATGTGGTGGTATAGAGGTGTAGTGAGAAGAGTGTGGTGTATAAGGTTTATGATGCGGAAGGTTGGCGGTTCGAGTCTTCGCAAGAGCGGATCAAATTGTTCTACAACGAATTATCGTCATGAATGACACTTGATAGCGTCACGAATAGTGTCTGCCATGACATTAAAGTGTCTTTGAAAGGTTTTAGTCTTGATGGTATAATGACACTTACAAGTGTCACTAACTCTTTTTTTAATGGCGCTTGATAGCGCCACAAATAATATCTACCATGACATTAAAATGTCATTAAAAATTTTCAGCTATAATGGTGCAGTGGCACTTGCAAGTATTTACCGTGACACTCGTATCTACCGTGGCACCGATAGAAGTGGCACTTGTTCAAAATGCCACAAGACCAAAAAATATCATTAAAAAAATAATTTTGTGACACTTTCAAATGTCACTAAACTAAAAAAATATTATAATATATCATAAAACACCATGTCACCGTACTAAACTACCGAATATTCACCCGACTACCAAAATAATTTGTCCAAATATAAAAATACAAATTATAAATTACCCTTTTAACTTGCACTAAATTGCACCAATATTAATCCAAATATAGCAGCCAACCCTTCAGGAGTTGAAACTGTGAACAGGGGTCCGGTCGCTGATTGCTGCGCGTAAGCCATGCAGAAGCACATCATTTCCCAAACTCACCATCCTCACTTGCATCGTGGCATATTATATTGAATTTTTTTCAAGTAAAAAGATATATGTACAAAAAAATACACAGAAAATTATTGTATAATTCAAATTTTAACTCATATTATAAAATTTACATATAAAATTAATCAAAGCCACATAATAATTTTCTTAAAACATTTCTATAAATGAGTTGTTTTTGAGGAATTTCATAAATGAGTTTTTGTGTAGTTAGTATTATTCTTTTCTCAAGTGTTAGGGAAAGTTTGTGAAGCATGAAGTAGTATGAAACAACATGGGCTTCCTCCACGTGGAGGACACAGATTCTCTTAGCTCATGACGCGTTTGCAACACCGGCTTTTTTTTGTGAGAGAAGAGTGTAATGATTATGGGTTGGATGTGATGTTTTGTTTGTTGTGGCTAAAATAGCCTATTTTGTCTTTTGAGGCTATTTTAGCCCCAACCCACTTGCAAACACCACCTAAGTATTATTCTTTTCTCAAGTGTTAGGGAAAGTTTGTGAAGCATGAAGTAGTATGAAACAACATGGGCTTCCTCCACGTGGAGGACACAGATTCTCTTAGCTCATGACGCGTTTGCAACACCTATTTATGACACTACCTTAAAAACACCAGGTGGTGGTAGTACCATCCCTGCATGACTCTTCAAACGCCAGTCAACAAGTGTGTAATTAGTGGGAAAAATATGAAATATTTCCTCACACACACTAGTCATTTTCACTTTCCTTTTTCTGGTCCTTTTTCTCTTACAAAATATTAGAGATGTTAAAAATTTTATTAAATTTTTTATTAAATATTTTTTATAAGTATTGAACTTACATAAGATTCATATGGCATGAGTCTCACATCCATGTGAAACATATAATAAAAAACATATAATAAAAAAATACATTACTCTTTCTCTTTTCCAAACACTCCCCAATTCGATGATGTAACCTACTCTCAATTACTTAACACTCGTTTGGCATAAGATTGCGGAGTTAAAATAGTTACAAAAAAATAAAATATATTAAAAAGTCAGTAAGATTAATGTCACATCTAAATTATAATTATTTCATTTTTTCTCTTACAAAAGTAAAAAACTAAAAAATTCATTCCAAATGAAACTTTTTAATCCCAAATTAAAATAATTGAAAAAGTAACTCACATCCCAAACAAACCCTTATTTTGACATGTCTTGTAATGTGAAATGAGTAATTTTACAAATCTTTTTTACATAATGATGCCATTCTTACCGTATAATTAAAATGAATTCTATTTCAGTTTTTAAAATTTTACAATTATTTGATATATGAGTTAACATTTTTTTTTTTTTGGGATACTATCTATGTGACAAGACTTTTAAAAAATATTTCTTAATTTATTCATAATGACATAACCAATCATGTTAATTTTTAATTTATCACCAATTCAACAATGGAAAACCCAACTTTACCCGCTCATTATAAGTCATTAGATTTCATTTTTAAATTGCACTTAAACTAAATTTAACTTAATAAAATTTAAAATTTAAATACTTTGTAAAATACAAGCATTGTCACAAGTCAAGCATCTTTTGTTTTTAAATTTTTGTCTCGTTATTTCAAAACAGTCACAATCACCAACAATAAAATCAAACACAAAAAATATCAAGAAATAAAATATGTGATTCAGATTCATTTAAAATGTCAGACCTACAATACAAGTATTGAATTTGGACATCACATTTTTTTTTCTTCGTATTTTCTGTGATTGATTTCTTAGTCTCTAGCATTTCTATACAAATCATTGAATCTTTAAAAATCTCAAGATGCGATAATGAGATTGTTTGGTGTAACTTATTCGAGCCAACTTATGTATATTATTTATTCTGAGAGTTTATGCTGAAATGTAACTATTTTTTGCTTATCGTTTATTAGGCAAAAATAATTATTTGAAATCTAGAAAAGTAGTGTGTTTTTTATTTTTTCTTTATTATAATATTTTAACTTAGGGCTAACTACACATACCATCCATATACTTTTAACAAAATCTCACTTTGATCCTTCTATTTTCAATTTTGGAAGTCAAACTTCTTACACAAGTTACAATATTATACTTTCATCCATCTATGGACTGACAAAAATTAAAAGTGAAACTTTGGTGAGATTTTAATGAAAATGTAAGGCGTAATAATAAGGCTAGAAAAATGTCACACATTGCTCACATAATAAGTTTCGTTAACTTTATTAACACCAAATTAATAGAAAGATCACACCACAATTTGATATAAAATAAAAATAAAAATAAAAAACAAAGACAAGAAATTGACTGTAATAATTTAAAAAATAGTAACCATAATAGAAATCGATGTAAAATATAAAGGGTAAATTACATTAGTAGCCTTTTCCATTTTATTTCTTATGCCATTTTGATTCTTGTTATCTCAATTAACTCGATTTTGACTACTAATTTTAAATTTTATATTAATTTAGTACACTTGATAATGCCCATTAGATTTTTTGAAGGAAAATGTCTCTACTGTGTTTGGCAAGTGGGTTGGGGCTAAAATAGCCACAAAAGACAAAACAGGCTATTTTAGCCACAACAAACAAAACATCACATCCAACCCATAATCATTACACTCTTCTCTCACAAAAAAAAGCCAAAAAGCCAAAAAGCCAAAAAGCCCTTCCCAAACCAAGCTTTTTAGCCCAGGCTAAAATAGCCAAAAAAGCCAAAAAGCCAAAAAGCCAACCCACTTCCCAAACGGAGGCTAAATTAGTTGAGTTTAATTCACTGAATGGAACATGTTTAAAAATTTACCTGTGCAAGCATGACACATATTGTTCTTGTGCACATTTTTCATCAAAAAAACACTAACAAATATAATTAATTGGAGCAAATTAAAACAAAATCACAAATTCATGATCAAAATTGATGAAATTAAATTTACAAGGACCAAAATAATAAAAAGGCCATAATATAGAGACTATCAATGTGAAGTTATACAATAATTCCGGAATGCCACGTGCGTATACTCCCTCACCAATCATCACTTCATATTCCTCAATCATCCAATACAAATAATTAATACTATATGGTCATGTTTGTTTGGATGGACATGAGCTTGGGATTGGACTAATAGTCCAATAAAATTATTAATCCGATGTTTGGTTAAACAATTGAAGTACAGATTAATTATTTTAAACTTGACTATTAGTTAAGATAGGATACATAATCCAACGAATTGGTAGTCCTATGACTATTAGTCATGGGAATGCTAATCCAGTCCGCCCAAACAAACATGGCCTATATTCTCTACCAATCATATTATCATAAAACACAATCTGACCGTACTAAACTACAGAATATTCAGCCGACTACCAAAATAATTTGTCCAAATATAAAAATACAAATTATAAATTACCCTTTTAACTTGCACTAAATTGCACCAATATTAATCCAAATATAGCAGCCAACCCTTCAGGAGTTGAAACTGTGAACAGGGGTCCGGTCGCTGATTGCTGCGCGTAAGCCATGCAGAAGCACATCATTTCCCAAACTCACCATCCTCACTTGCATCGTGGCATAACCCCCTTCCCTCCACGTGTCCACTCACACACCTATATATACATACAATCCCCACCCCCACCCTCACCTTTCCCCCACACTCATCTCTCTCTCTCATCCCTCTCTCTCTAGAAACATGAAAACCCAAGTTGAAGAAAGGTTCTCAGACTTCTTTGAGAAATGGGTCTGTCAACTGGAGCTCCATCTCCAACTCCTCTTAAAGATCTCCAAAGAAAGCTCAAACGAATCAGATTTCAAGACTGTTGTGGCCGAACTCACGGCCCATCACAAGGATTACTACACCGCTAAATGGGCCTCGGCCCATGAGGATGTTTTGGCGTTTTTTGTTCCGGTGTGGTTGAGTCCACTCGAGAATGCTTACCTCTGGTTCACGGGTTGGAAGCCGTCAATGGCGTTCCAACTCGTCAACTCGCTCCGAGTGAGGGTTCCAGGTTCGAGCCTCGCCGATATGTCAGAGAGTCAGTTGAGGAAGGTGGAGGAGCTAAAGGGGAAGATTAGGGTGGAGGAAGAGAAGGTGGAGAGGGAGATGGAAAGGCAACAGGTTGGTAACTCGAAATTTGTTTAAAATATGAATCGAATCGTAAACAATCTGTAACAATTAAGAGTGTATTTATAATTTATCTAAATTTAAATTAATATTTCTTTTATTTATATAAAAAAATTAATTATAAAATCAGACGCAATTTAAGCAGAGATGGTGTCTAGTTATAATTGATTTTTACATTTTTTATTTTTCATTTTTTTCATCTTTTTGGTGTGAGATATTATGTTTGTTACATATACTCTATTATTTTGTGTATATTTTGGGTATTTTGATACAGACCCTCTTGTCCGTCCGCTACTGATTGTACACGTGTCAGACACAAGAGTGAGATTCTGAGTCAAGTTACGTGTTGGAGTCATATTTATTTACGAAAATGTTATATATTCTAAATAATTTATCAAATTTTTTACATCACATATAACACACATCAATTCACATATGTGCAGGTCTCAAAGTTTAATAGATTATTTGGAGTTCTAGTATCACTCATTTATTTAATTTTTGTTTTAGAGATTTTTCTTGTTAATATATTTTATGGTACAGGTGGCGATGGCGGACCGCCGAATGGTGGAGCTGGCGAGGCTGACGAGCAGAGTGAAGAGCGGCGGTGGTGGGGTGGCGGCGGAGGTGGATGGGTTGGTGGAGGCGGCAGTGAAAGGGCTATTGGGTGGGTTAGAGAAAGTGATGAAAATGGCAGATTGTGTGAGGTTAAAGACTTTAAAGGGGCTGTTGGAGGTGTTGAATCCGATTCAGTGTGTGGATTTCTTGGTGGCAACATCGATGCTGCAAATTCAGATGAGGAGGTGGGGGAGGAAGAGAGAGAGTAGTCAGAGTCACAGTAGTAGACGCCATGAAAGCCAGAGCCAGAGCCAGAGCCACAGCGAGACCCGTGCTATGGTGCAGTTTGTGTAGTAGTATGTGTTTGGCTCTTCTTGTGTTGTAACTAGTTTGTGCTTTTGTTTTGTTTTGTTTTGTTGTGTTTCAGAAATGTGTGTTTTTGTTTGGTTTTGGAACAAAGTGGTTTGTGTATGTCATATATCTCTGTATTATTATATAATGCACACTGTTATTTGAGGTTTTGTCATATATATTTTTTTATTATTTAAAATAGAGATTTAATTGTTATAATCGTCATAATTGATTTAACTGTTTCACACATATAATGAGTGAGAGACGGTTATATTTGTATTTGTATACTTTATAGACGGTGGCTTGTTTTAGATAACGATGTTGGAAGACGTATTGGTACGGTATAGCAGATGGGTAATGTTATATGTATTAATTAGTGTATTTATTGATGGTATGTTATAATTTTAGAGTTTTTTTGGTATTTATAATTTGCATAATGGGTGAAGTCAGTAATAATGTCATAACATATGTTGATACACTAGTTGGTACACTAATTGATATATATAGCACCACTAATAATAGATTTAAGAGTATTTAAATGCATTGAAAATTAATGTTGCGGTCAAAATTCTTTTAAAATTTTAATTAAAAAATAAAGTTCTATAATAGTTTAATTGGTGTATTAGACTACCTCTAATGACTCATCAAATTTAAATTTGATGAAAAAACTTATTTTTTGTTGCTCCAACTCCGCACAAAATCATTCATCAAATTCAGGATTTCTCAAATCTTTCATCAAATTGAGGATGGATACATCTTTCATCAAATCACTGTTTATAGTCATTAGATTTTCATCACCGAATATCCTCGGATGACCACCTCAAGAAAAAATTTATAAAAAAATTACACTGACCAGTTGACTGGCCGGACATCCTCTCGGTCGTCCGTTCAGTCAACTAGTGTTATGATGAAGTTTTAAAAACCTCCGTTGGAACACTTGAAATCAAATGAAATTTTTATTTAAATTTGATTTTAAAAAAAAAATTAAATCATTGGAGATGCCCTTAATAGTTAATATATATTTGAAATGTGATATAAATAGATAATATAGTGTTATTATCCTTATAATAAAATTTTAATTATTTTAAAACTTTTTAAACTAATATTCCAAAATACTAGTTAGCATTTACATAATTAAATAACCTAAAATAAGATATTAAAAAATAGTCAACAATTTAATGTGTTGCTGGAGCACTCCGTTGTAACTTGACATCATAATGTGTTTGATGAGGAAATTTGTGAGGTATACAAACCAAGTTCATTTGCCTTTAAACAACTTAATTTTTAGATGAGATAATAGTTTTTGGGTGCAATAATTACTTTTATGTATATTTAAGTGTGAAAAAGGTACATTGAGTTCAATTTTACTCGCATATTTTCATAGGCCTGTGAACAAAATGAGTAATATTATACATTATGAAAATTTTAATGAAAATTAATTCAATGGTGATTGTATAGCATTTAATAAAACATTACAAATTAATTAAATGGTGAAAAATTTTCATAAAAACTTCTTCTTATATTTTTTTTATGATGCCTAAGATTATTAGAACGGAATTTACCTCTTACTTATTTTCGGCTCACAGCATGAAACGACGTCGTTTCGGCTCACAGCAGTAACTGCTGTGAGCCCCTCGCAGCAGCACCCCCGGATCCCATATAATGAGTGAGGGACGGTTATATTTGTATTTGTTTGTTTTAGATAATGATGTTGGAAGACGTGTTAGTACGGTATAGCAGATGAGAAATGCTATATGTATTAATTAATGTATTAATTAATGGTATGTTATAATTTTAGAGTTTTTTTGGCGTTTATAATTTGTGTAATGGGTGAAGTCAGTAATAATATCATAACATATGTTAATACACTAGTTGGTACACTAATTGATATATGTAGCACCACTAGTAATGGATTTAAGAGTATTTAAATGCATTGAGAATTAATGTTGCGGTCAAAATTTTTTAAAAATTTTAATTAAAAAATAAAGTTCTATAATAGTTTAATTGGCGTATTAGACTATCTCTAATGACTCATCAAATTTAAAATTGATGAAAAAACTTATTTTTTGTTGCTCCAACTCTGCACAAAATCATTCATCAAATTCAGGATTTCTCAAATCTTTCATCAAATTGAGGATGGATACGTCTTTCATCAAATCACTGTTTATAGCCATTAGATTTTCATCACCGAATATCCCCGGATGACCACCTCAAGGAAAAAAATTTATAAAAAAATTACATTGACCAGTTGACTGGTCGGACATCCTCTCGGTCGTCCGTTCAGTCAACTAGTGTTATGATGAAGTTTTAAAAACCTCCGTTGGAACACTTGATATCAAATGAAATTTTTACTTAAATTTGATTAAAAAAAAAATAAATCATTGAAGATGCCCTTAATAGTTAATATATATTTGAAATGTGATACAAATAATAATGTAGTGTTATTATCCTTATAATAAAATTTTAATTATTTTAAAACTTTTTAAACTAATATTCCAAAATACTAGTTAGCATTTACATAATTAAATAACCTAAAATAAGATATTAAAAAATAGTCAACAATTTAATGTGTTGCTGGAGCACTCCGTTGTAACTTGACATCATAATGTGTTTGATGAGGAAATTTGTGAGGTATACAAACCAAGTTCATTTGCCTTTAAACAACTTAATTTTTAGATGAGATAATAGTTTTTGGGTGCAATAATTACTTTTATGTATATTTAAGTGTGAAAAAGTTACATTGAGTTCAATTTTACTCGCATATTTTCATAGGCCTGTGAACAAAATGAGTAATATTATACATTATGAAAATTTTAATGAAAATTAATTCAATGGTGATTGTATAGCATTTAATAAAACATTACAAATTAATTAAATGGTGAAAAATTTTCATAAAAACTTCTTCTTATATTTTTTTTATGATGCCTAAGATTATTAGAACGGAATTTACCTCTTACTTATTCACTATCTTTGGAGTAATGAAGTCTACTACCATGCGGTGGGATCAGTACATTTTTTACCAAAATGGATTTATTGCTTTGTATTGATATAAGAGCACTTCCACTCGATATTTTAAATTTGATATGGTACTTTAACAGTTATATTTTGACATTAAGTATCAACTCTACCCGATATATTAAATGCTGAGTTGGCATTTAGTATGAACTTAACATGTTAAATTTGACATACTTCGTGTTGATGTCAAATGTTGAGTCCACTTAATAAAATACTTTTATTTTTAAAAAATAATAGAATAATAAATTTGATATATTAAATGAAAAGTTTCTATGTCAAATTGACATATATCAATTTGTTACCTAACTTTTAAAAAAATTTAACACACCAAATTTTAAAAATTTGGATGGAGATGCTTTATTACTTGTTTTGTTCATAGTGAACAAAACCCTTGTTTACATAAAAGGCTAGGATTGTCTGTAGTTTAGACGGGTCAAATTTAGGTCATAAGTCCGTCATAAGTCCATCACAACTGTCGTAGATAATTTCATCTATTCATTCAATATGACTTGTGTGTAAGTCGTTAGATTGATAAGATAAATTTAGGAGATTAACGATTTTCAATGACCCTCTAGACTACTCTTATTTTTACACGTACCCTCATACTATTTAAATTACTATCAATTTTGCTCCTGTCGTCACATTTAAAACGGAAAACGTTAAAAGAATTACATTTTGGTCCCAAATTTCAAAAGAAAGATGCAAACCAACCCTCCCAACACTTCTCCAACCTGCAGACGAATCATTTCGATTCAGCAATGTCGATACCAGCCCTCCTAACACTTCCCCACCAAACGCAACTTCCTGGGACAAATCCTTGCCATTATCGATATCTCCATGGTCCTCTCACGCCGCTCAAATCGACGATTACTATTCATACACAAACCTAATAAGTTCTCTTGGTTTGGGCAGTCAATAAAAGCACACATCCAATAGAGATCTTTCTCAATATATATCATTCAGCCAACAAAATCATGCAAAAGTTGCCCACCAATCATATCTCTTCCAAATTGCTGATTCTGTGCTTCAAAACTACCCATTACATACATCTCGGTGTTCGCTTCAAGATCGAAACGACGAGCTGCATTAATTGGAAAGGGCTTTGATAAACCAATCACATTATTCTAATGGTGTCCTAGTGTTAAAGAAACACCCCCACTTCCACTTGCAGTGTTTGCACCAACGTCCATTTGTTGATGACGTGACAAATTTTCATAAGATAAATTCATCGGCTCTTTAGTCCCCATGTATATATCGGGAAATTCATTTTTAGTGCGTTTAGACGGAAGGTCTTGGGACCGCTTGGGGGATGTGAATGGATTTTTAGAAGCAAGTGAGGTGGTTGTAGGCAAATAATCATTTGGCCCATCGATATTTTGTTGTTCCTCCCTTTGTAAAGCTTTTTGACCTTGTCGTATTTCGAGCATGTGTATTTCTTCCACCATGGGCTTCCAAAGTCTCACCCTTGCGTTGATGAACCAATTGGAAACCTGGTTAGCATTGTCAACCTTGATCACCTCAATTTTATATAGCCGTGGAAGTGTTTAAATACAAGTCAAATGTTTGATCTGACATTGAGCACCTTAAAGAGAGCTCTCTAAGTGCTTCTATATGTGTGTGCACATTTGTGTAGTGTGTGTGTGTGAAGTAGAGGCTACTAGAGCTAACAAAAAGTAGCACACCTGGCTTCATGAAAGACCAGTCTGTTTAGCTAACATTAGCTTGTCTTTATCAGTCCGATGGTTACCGAATTTGATGGGTTGGTCTTCACTGGTTCCGCAGATGGGAGTGTCAAGATATGCTGGCGAGAGATGCAAAGGAAGGGTACCAAACACATTTTTTCCTAGAACTACACCATATGGGTTGTAATGTTTTGAAATTTTCAAAATTAATTTTCAGACAACTTTCGGCATACCAACTGGCCATTACACAAAAAAGTGAGAAAGCGAGGTAGTAAAGTGAGGTGAAGAGAATGGTGAAAGAATGAAGTAGAACCGTCAAGAATCGAGAAAGATATGAAGTCTGAAAGATGGCTTGAAGAAAAGTCAAAAATGAGAAGAAAAGTCTTATTTTTTTTATCAACTTTCGAAGTTCCGATAGCGTGCAAAAATAGGAAGAACGGGACGTGAGATGTGATATGAAAACT